CTTTCGTTTTCTCTGCGCTCTCTTATGGGGGAGAGAGCGGGTCGAGCAACCCCGCGCAACATACTTAGCGCCGTTTATGGATAACGTGGATGATGACTCAGGCACCAGTTCAGCTGAGCTCCGCTCATTCACCTTAGAAAACCAGCAAAGGGTGAATGCGACGGATTGCTGAACTCTGCCGACGCGCACGTTGGGCCGGCACGTTGGAGTTTACCTCCCTTGCCTGGCGCGCGAAGCGCGCGCGGCGGCCACCGCCGTAACGCTTCGCCCATTTTTTGAATGCAGCGTGCATTCGCGCCACTTGCTGCGCGAGTGGTGTGAACGCACGCTGCACGCGGACAGCGTGTCTGGTTTGATGCGCTCGAGCCTGTCCGCTTCCCCGAGTCAAATCTAATGAAGCACATGTGGGGGGGGAGTCCAGAAGTAGCGCACCCCCATGCGCCTCTGCCCAGCAATTATCAGTCGCGGTGTTCGAGAAATAGAACGCTCCTCTACAAAAACTCTCGACCAACCTTGTGGCCAGTATGAGAGCACGTACCAAAGCATGCTTCGCAATCCGCAGTGTTCATGAACATCATCAAAATCCAGCTCCTCTTTTCTGAATGTTTACTATGAGTTGGGGTAACCTCACCGATCGACCTCTTCAGACCCTGTTTTCGAAGAAAAATGTCTTTTCAGATCGTTCCATTGCTTGTTTCTGTCAGTAACTCTCTGCACTATACTGCAACATTCCCTTCTATATATGTGCCAAATTTCATCGGCCCAGGTTAGCTAGCAGAAGATATCATGCAAAAGTTACCCCCGTTCTTAAGTTTTGCACACCAGTGTACAACACAGTTATTGATGCTACCTCATTAGCCGAGTAACTGCAATGTCGCATTGCTGACAGGCAAGCAGCCCTGTTCACCGATTATGACCGCAGGCGTGCACAGTTCTGCAGTTCAAACACACTGGTCGTTTTTTTGTTTGCATCACTCTCTTCTGGTCATTCTCTTCTTGCCATATTGTTTCTAGTCAGGAGCGTTCATCTCATGATATTCACTCAATATTATTTATCGACTTCAGAATTTGGTACTCTTCCTCTCAATCGGTTTTTATAAACATGATAACAGAGCTGGGCTGCCTTGAGAAAGTTCCACTGGACACCAACATCACACAGACGAAAAAGCACAGAGCCGACGACACACGAAATATATGGAGGCGGGTACTAGTGCTCCTCACTCACTTGAGCTATAAATTGAAAATATCTCCATCAATCAAAAATTGTACCAATTATATTCGCGATACAATACACGAGTAGTAGGCAGATTTCTTTACGGCTCGAACAACTCATAATTTCTGTAAAAGCGGCAATACCAAACAAGTTCCATTCCATTAATTCGACGAACAACATCGCCTTCAGTCAATGACCACGACATCAGTCGAATGAATAGCATATCAGTACAGAGCGTGGCCCACATATTATGACATGATTGGCTTTGTTATGAGCCGTTACGCATAGTAAACGAGGACCTTGGTAAGATTGCCAAAGTTGTTGTGATTTTTTCATGTTCTTGGGTACGCCATATGATCTCTCTCCATAGGTTTGTTTAGGCAGCAGAACTGGAGAGCCTGAATTACTTGAAAGTGTTGTTGTTTGCGTTTGAAGCAAGGGGAAGCAACAAAAAAATTAAGTGGCTGTTCACCGCTCGTGCAAGTTGGAAGAGAGAGAGAGATGGAAACACTCGTCATTGCCTTCCGTATGATGTATTCGGTGCCTAATTGCTAACACACAAAGTCGCGTCGTCATCGGTACCTCATTTTGAATTTTCCGTCCGCCACATTGGCAATCCATTTCTGCCAATCAGTCCAACGGGAGGGCCCACTTGCTCGAGTATAAATACCATCCCTTTTCAGAGGTGGAGTACCCCAGTCCGAGGCTCCGAGACAATTCTTACCACTTCAAGCGGCCTCCGGGACTCTTTTTCCGGTAGGCAAATTTGGTCACTACGCAAGTAACCCAACAGGCAACTCCACAAACAAAGAGGTCATTCCGCTAGACACCACACAAATCAATAAGGATCAATGAATGCAACTGCCGTTGGACTCACCACCTTCCAATATCGACGTCTGATGTCACTGTTCATGCATACAACACCAATCAATAAGGGCAAGGCATAACTTAAACCATCATACCAAGTAGTCCTGATACAATAACTCTTTTACAGTGAGCACGTGAGCTTACCATGTATAAGATGTTCTAGTATATAATGTTTGCTCCACACATGTTTGAATTTAATCTGTTATGTTTAAAATAAGAGTATTCTGCCACCGATTACTCGGATACATGGGGCACTGGCAGGGAATCAAACCCCGGCCTTGCAAGTAAGAGCCGCAAACCTAACCACTAGACTACATACATATTCGTGAGATCTGGAAGGAAATCGTGAAAATGCTGAAAAACGCCGGCAACAGTAAGGCCATCGAAGAAGAAGCTCACATGCAACAAGAAAGTCATCGAAAAAGCTCACATGTCTGATAGAATAAGCATGTACAACAACACTTCACACTTTCTCAATTGTTTCATTGTTACATTGGAAGATGAAAGAGGAAGAACTAAAACTGGAAACATCAAACTAATATAGTGCAATTTCAGACTAGACCGTACCGTTGAATTCACGTTGAACTTACAAGGGAGGTCTTTCAGGGTGTGGGACGCTTTTACGAAACGGTTTTCTTCATGCTGTAGGGGCTCTCACGTACACTACAATAGTGTGTTCATTTTCATCACTGAGCGGTCCCCTGAAGGCCAAAAAAAGGGTCGAAAATATTCGTTAAGGATCGGTGGTTTTTACTGCCTTGGAGTGATGTTCCGAACTTGTAGAGAAGACCGCGTGCATGGGTACAGATGAGGTTGATATCGAAAACAACATGAAATTCAATGTACTGTTCAATGAAAGTGCTGAAGAAAGGGTGGTGGTTTCAAAGGCGTCATCGGCACCCTGCCTCTCGCAGTTCACCGGTGGTCAAGTGGCTAGCGTGTTGGGCTTGTGCGAAAGGTGTGGTTCAACTCCGCTTCAGAGCGATCTTTTGCATTTTTGATTATCACCCTCAAATGGGCTACAAATTGCTCTAGCGTCAAAACTACCGCACTATCTACGATCAGAGCCGTGAAGAGTCCTTGCAAATGGGTTTTCTACCAAAAACTGGCGAAATATGTTCGCAGCGTCAAACTGGCGCCAAACGGCGCCGACGCCAAATACGAACGCCGTATTCATGATCAGGACCCTAATTACCTCCATGTGCCAAATTTCAGGAAAAAAGTCGAGATTTCGACCTAACTTCGGAAAAAGAGACCATGGGCTACAGGCAGGGCCAACCCTACCGTTGTTACTTTTCAAAGACTTTTGACGACCCCCCCCTATACGAAATACCATGTAAAACAATGCTGAATCGCGCCCATTGTCTTCCTGCGTCCTTTGTCGAGCGCGTTTGCTGACAATGAACGGGCGGCGAACGGGGATTCTGGAATCTGGACAAACCTTTCTTTGTTAAATTTCAGGTAGCTCGGAGAAAAGTGGTGGATTCTGGATCAGCGATGCTCATCCGCCATTACTAAACATAATTTGTTTTCAAACTATTCAAAATGAATAATTTATCGTGCAAAAAATAAAATTCCACAACAATTATTACCCTCCTTTTTCTAGGGCTATAACTTCCTTCATTTTCGAGCTTTTACGCCGGTTTCATTTGCAAAACACTCGAATCATCCTCTATCCAATCGTGGTTGATTTTCTCAAAAGTTGATTTATCAAAAATGTAGCACGTTTGAACTTTTTTCTAATCAAATGCGACTTTTTAACCTTCGTACGATCATAACTTCTCTCAAAGTCAGTCATTCAGAAAGCTGAACACGGCATGACTAACTACAGGATTCAAGCTTTCTAAAGAGCACCAAAACGTTTCTGAAAAGTCAACAGTTATAAATTTAGTCTCGTTGACTTTTCTGTGGGGTTTATGTTACTATTTTTCTGGAACCGCGACTTTTTACCCTTGAAACGATCATAACTTCTTTCAAAGTCAGTCATTTGGAAAGCTGAACACGGTATGAGAAACTATGATGCAGCTTGCCAAAGAACACCCGGACGTTGTGGAAAAGTCAGCAGTTCAAAAATTAGTCCCGTTGTGACTTTTTTGGGGGGCATTCTAAAAGGAATTTTCTTAAAAACGCGGGTTTTTTAAGTTTCACTTCCCATAACTTCTCAGGAAACCAATTTCATGTTGGATATAGGATGTGTTAGAAAGCTTCGAGCATGTGTTTGTACTGACATTCCCTGCCTTGGTGTGCGCCACGCCTCGGCCGCGCTTCTGATTAGCTGATTCATTCGAAAAGTCATTTAGAAGAAAGCTGGGTTGCAGATGCTCTAGTATCAGTTATCTTGCGTAAATGTAACGTGCTGGCTACTAATTTCACTGCCGGCCACTGAGAGAGTACGACCCCCTCCCTCCAAGTCCATCCAAGTACGACCCCCCCCCGTTGCCACCTATAACAACGTAGGGTTGACCCTGGCTACAGGTCGTCATGTACGCGGCGGGTGACCTGGAAACGAGCGCGGCGCAAAATGAAGCAGGATGCTCTGATGATCCACCGATCTGAAGTTTGACATCATAGAGAAGATCGCGCACCACGTTGCAGACCTTGAAAACGCTCTATCAATCGAGATGAAGCCTTGCAAGTGGAAGAGCCGTGGACCCAACATATCACGTCTTGAGGGAGAGAAGAATTCGCCAACTTCAACATCATGGGGTGCTGTTGTACATTACTAGCTTTGGTGTCTGCCATTGGCCATATATTAGTGAGACTCATTGTTTGGGAAGGATAACAAGGAAATCGTTTTCAGTTTACCGGTTGGAGGTAGGCCAATTTCTCGGATCCGGGTCGAAATCTCAGTCTCCTCTAAAACTTCTAATGGAAGGTATTAGGTTGTCTCATAAATAGTGTCGTTTTTCTTCAAACAGAATTTTGAGCTAAAATCCTATGCTTTCGAAACATCTTATATACCATTTGAAAGAGAATTGTCTGCTCTATAAAACGGCATGTTTAGTTTCTATAATCACTGCGCAATTTTCGAATTTCAAGCCTGCAAAATGGGAGGTCCAGTCGACGAAAATCAGCCAAACCGACAGCGAGCTCTAACACTATTTTCCCCAAAGAGAAATCAGTCAATGATATACCCCTCACTTACTCATGACCTCTTCTGAACATTTCGCTATTAGGCTTGCCAGCAAGTCGCGTCGCTACTTTCGCAGATTTGGCTATTCCGCCAGAACTCGATGGTCAAGCACCCCTTGAAATTTATGCCAAACACTTTTTACAGCCGATACATTGAAAAACTAGTGGAATGTTGATAGCAAGTCATGTCTAACTCAGGAATGTATGCCTGATCGATTTTTTCTCCTTTTCAAGGGAAATTTTTTGCAAAATAATGTGGTAATTTTCGTTACTGGACACCCTATCACGCAGGCCTGAAATTCGACCCGATTCACAACGAGTATAAAAACAAAACATATGGGCAAGTTGAGCAGTAGAGTTGCTCACGAATGCTATATCAACTCATATGAAACGATGGGGATTCAGGGGAAAAATTTTAGTTTCAAGAACACTATGGCTTATCGAAAATCAAGTTCGTAAAGAAATGGGAGAAGGCATTTTCCACAACCCAACAGTGAAATTTTCGAAAGAGGTCATGAGCGAGTGACGGGTACATCATTGATTGATTTCTCCTCAAGGAAAATAGTGTTAGAGCTCGCTGTCGGTTTGGCTAATTTTCACGACTGGACCCCCCCTTTTTTTGGGTTGAGATTTTTAAACACT